GAACCAAGGTTTATAGAATTGTAGAGAGCCAAAGTGCTGGCCCATAGTGGAGTAGAAGGAAATGCCTGAGTACAGCCTTCTGGGGATATAGAGAAAAAATCACTCTAGTTCTTTGCCATGAGGTTGGAGGGGAGCTTCCCTATAGATGACTAGTTGGAACCAGGTAGAGAAGTCCCAGCAGTCACATGTTGGAAATGTAGGAGACACATCACACTGACCCATAAACACCAAGTGGGGAGACACACTCTGGCTTTGGGCAGTGCAGACACAGTAGGGTCCATGACCCTACAATGCCTCTCCAACTCTCGTTAAGTACCACCATTCTTCTGCTGACCCCAGTTGGTTCCTTTCCTCTCAGTGTCTCGTGAATAATCCCCAGCACTTTCCAGGTCTGAGAAAAGTTCCATGTCACTCTCCATACATTGATTGCTCAGTGCATATTTCACAACAGTGAGAAAAATACAGTAAGTAAAACCTACCCCGGTTCTATGCAGAAATGGCTCTGGAAATTATGGTAGCACATGACTCTGATGATCCATTTGGATAGTTATTAGAAGAATGCAAACCAGCAGAGAACTGAGACAGTTTAACAGTTTATCCCCATATATTTTATTAATTTAAAGTTTGCTTTAAATATAAATTGATTCCTTAATTATTTGCTCTATTATCTTTCCTGGTACAGAAGTGAAGCTGACTTGTCTATAATTCTGGGGTTGTCCTTATTTCCCTTTTTCTAAATGGGCACTATATTTGCCCTTCTCCATTCTTCTGGAATCTCTCCCATATTCCATGACTTTTCAAAGATGATAACTAATGGTTCGGATATCTCCTCAGTCAGCTCCTTGATTATTCTAGTCTGCATTTCTTCAGGCCTTGGTGATTTGAAGACATCTAACTTATCTAAGTAATTTTTAATTGTTCTTTCCCCTATTTTAGCCTCTGATCCTACCTCATTTTTCCTGGCATGCACTATTTTAGGCATCCAATTACCACCAACCGTCTTGGTGAAAATTGAAAAAAAGAAGTCATTAAGCACCTCTGCCACTTCCATATTTTCTGTTATTCTTTTTCTCTCTTCCCTGTCCTTCATCTTCCCTTTTCTTCTAACGTATTTGTATAATGGTTACTTGTTACCCTTTATGTCTCTAGCTTGTTTGATCTCGTTTTGTGCCTTGGCCTTTCTCATTTTGCCCTTACATACGTGTGTTATTTGTTTATATTCATAGTTTGAAATTTGACCTAGATTCCACTTTTTGTAGAAATCTTTTTTTTTATTTTTAGATCATTGAAGATCTCCTGGTTAATCCATGGTGGTCTCTTGCCTTATCTCCTATCTTTTCTATGCCTCCATCCTAGTCTTCAAGGGCTGGGCCTTGGAATACGGTGCATGGACATTAACATGCACCCCACAACAGTTCAGGGTTAGAGACAGTTTGTCAAACTTAGAAGCAAAGAATAATTTTCATTGCTTGCCAGTGGAAACTAATTTATTCTGACTTTTTGGAAATCTATAAAAATATTCTCAAAGTTTTAAGCCTTCACAAAAGATTTCATATACGTTTCTTCAAGTGGTGAGTTCTGGGGACTGGGGTTGAACTCGGGTTCATAATGCTGTATGAATTCAAACTCCACTCTGGAGCCAAAACCAGCAGAGCCAAATTTTAAAAAATGAAAATAAAAAACCCCTAAATGCTCTCCATTGGCCAAGAGGGAAAATCTGAATCCACCCACCACTCCTTCAATCAGCCACAAACCACCCAGATCCCCAGCACTTACCAGGACTCCCAGACATCCCTTCCTGATCTCGTGGTATTAGCTGCATTTTTCCATCTTTCAGATCTGCATGGGTAGAAAAGGACTCCGATTATTAGGAAATACCATTATTATAGAATCAAAGTGCTAAACCATAAACCATTGCATTTATCCAATCTGACCTCCTGGAAACAGAGGCCTCCCACTATCCCTGCATCAGTTCTATAACAATTGTCTCTATTTCTCCTGGCTCTTCCCTCAATGCTCATCCAGTGTCATAATGTAATTGCCCCACGTATGAAGTGGAGTGGCCTCCCTCTGATCTGGAGAGTGAGGGACCACCACACTCCCCCTGGTGGGCAGAGCCAAATCCACCGCACCCTGGCACTGGAAATCCCAGGGCAGGACAGGAAACGTAAAAAGAGAGCTCTGGAGCTCAGTTAGGGCTGGACCACTGGAGGGAGCAATCTTCTCTTAGAAGGAATGAAGATCCTTGCAGGATCCCGTACTGGCCCTTGACAGGAGCCACACTCTGCGGTCAGAGGAGGCAGACGAACATATGAGCTTTGGCCTGCAGAGCCCTACACCCAAACTGTGGTAGGATATAGCCCAGGGATCCAGACTTTAGTCCGGTTCTGGTGCCAGAAAATGAGTCAGAGTGTTTCCAGAGCAACCCTGCTGACCCGGTGGCAGACACATCGGCCACATTTTGGGCACTGGACTATTACCTGGTGGGCCTGGTGGGCCTGGCTCCACCTATTCTCCCCCCCTTGCCACTGACTCCACCCATTATGGAGCTATAGATTGTTTGTTCTTTACCCCAGCCCAAAGGCCTGAGCTCCCCTATGGAGAGTTAATTACTGTTTGCCACAGACAGGTGGTGGTGGAGTAAAGACTGCTCATGTTTCTGCCCTGCAAAGAGGGCCAGAGCTCCCTTATAGACTGTTCTATACTACCTGCCCCAGCCAGAATGCTCTGTTTTTGGCTCTGCCTCACCCAGAGGGCCAGAGATCCTCTCCCCCTGCCCCAGACTATTTGTTGTTGTTTGCCCCAGCCAGGCAGCTGTCAGCTAAAGACTGTGGCACAACCCCACCCAGATGGCTGGAGTTTACCTTGTTACTTGCTGTCTGCCTGTAGTGAGATGGAGTGGCCTCCATTCCCACTTGAGAGCGAGGGACCCCATTACTGCATGTGGGAGTTGGGGGAGTGTCACAACACAGTTTGAGAGGGTATGTAGCAGAAGGGCTGTTGTTGACTCTTGAGGAGATGAAGAGACATCCTACACTGACTGATATGGTTTGAAGAGACGAACAACACAGATGCCCCAACAGGGAGAGAAAGGAGAAAACCCTAATCTCACACCCTCTAAGAGGAGAGAGTGAAATGCCCCAGCAGAGGCCTGAAAGAATAGGAAGGCTTTTTACCAAGGGAAGGGAATGCTGAGGTTGGAGACACCTATTGCTGAGCTGTATGGATTGAGGAAGTAGCATCTACCCTGGAGGGCACATAGGGTGATGTATTCTAGGTGAATAGTTGAGGTGGTGGGAAGAAGCTCCAGTGCTTTCTTATGGGGTGAAACAAAAGCTGCACGCTGACCCATGGAAACAAAGGGGTGGGGATTCCAACTCTAGCACTGAACCCTGGAGTCAGACTTGTGGGGGATGGGCCAGCACCCCCCTTCCAATTCATTGGTGTCCACCCCCTCCAATCTCCCGGAGTCTCTGCTCTCCCCATATCCTGTTTGTCTACCCCTTCCCAGTTTCATGAGGGACACTGTCTTCTTTTCCTCACTACAAAATACATTTCCTCCTCCATCCTATCCCCAGAACTTGTCTGGTCTTTGAGATGTCTGTCTTCTCTTTTCTGGTTTTGCTTACTCTTTTCCTACTGTTGTCACTGTAATGCACAACAGGGGCTCAGTGGGGATCTTTCCTGCGGTATGATTCCCACTGGGGGTCACCCCAATTATCCATCAAGGCAGAGGAGTGCACCACCACTGGCTCACTGCAGAGGGGGAAATGTCCACTGCTGCCTTGCAGGGATGGATGTGATAAATATTCCAAAACCTATTTGTGGAGATGCAGGATACATTTCAGCATGAACAAGAGGGGTTAAGGAAGAATGCTGCATGCTCCCCCATTGGGTGGGGTGGGAAGAATGGATACAATTGTGCTATACCATGAGACTTAATGATGTCATCTGAAAGACCTCCTTGTAGGAATAGCAAGGGAAATAACTGCACTTCCCTGGGGAGGAAACAGGGAAAATGCTCCTCCACAGCTGCATAGAGCTGGAGGACCAGATGCTTGAGCAGGGCCACATGCAGATCCAGGTTATAGAAACACACCTCTGTCAAGCCCTGAATATGTAAGGAGGAGTCATTCCTGCAATGACCACTGAGGTTGCAAGAGGAGATATACATTAGAAAACCCATTTGAATGGAGAGTGTGACTCTGGCTGACCAGGTATCAGCTCATGCCAAACCTCAGGGCCAGTTTACTTGTGTATTAGGTAGAGATTAAGGTGATTGTAAAATATATATGAATGTATGTCATGTTTAAACTTCATGAAAACTATTGGCCTGTTTCTTGCATTGTTTTCACTTATCTGCTTTGCATTATCATGTAGTGGTAAACATTTATATAGCACATAGCGCTATAACTGTATATCCCATCAAAGGAGAAAGAAGCCTTGTGGAATGCAAATGAAGAACTTTAACAGAAAACTCTAATTTCAAAGCAAATGGCCATTCTGTGTGACGTTTGGAGGTCTAAGTGTGTTCCTCACTCACTGCTCACGTAGCTGGTGACACTGTCAGATTGTTTTCTGTGAGAAGAAAATATAAGTATGGAATTAAGGAAGGATCCTATATCTCTGGACTGTCTGGATTCTTACAAGGAGGACCAGTTTCAGAGGGGTAGCCATGTTAACCTTTTTCAGCAATAACAACAAGGAGTCCTGTGGCACCTTAAAGACTAACCAATGTATTTGGGCATAAGCTTTCATGGACTGGAACCCATTTCTTCAGATGCTTCCTCATTGTTTTTACAAGGAGGAGAAGTAGCTGCAAAGCAGCAATCCCAAGAAACCATCTGGGAATCCCGAAAAGTATTTGGGAAACTGGCTGTTTACTACATCACTGCCACCATTTGGAATTAGAACAGGAGTACTTGTGGCACCTTAGAGACTAACAAATTTATTAGAGCATAAGCTTTCGTGGACTACAGCCCATTTCTTCGGATGCATGCATGTAGTCCAAGAAAGCTTATGCTCTAATAAATATGTTAGTCTCTAAGGTGTCACAAGTACTCCTGTTCTTTTTGCGGATACAGACTAACACGGCTGCTACTCTGAAACCTGTCATTTGGAATTACAGACTGTGACTACCCTATGCATATATTTTACCTGCTTTAACCTTTGATCTGTAGGGGTGGCAGACATGTACTAGCATAAACAACCAAATAAGAAAAAGACCTCAGTGCTGAATCATGGGTCTGGGGAAAGATAGCACAGTTCTGACTCCTGGTTTATGGAATTATAGAGAGCCAAGTGCTGGCGCATGGGGGAGGAGAAGGAAAGGCCAGAGCACAGCTTTATTTGGATACATAGAAATAAATTTACTCTAGTTGCTTGACAGAAGGTTGGCGCGGTGCTTCCCTGTAGGTGACAACTTGGAACCAGCTAGAGAAGCCCCAGCATTGAGGTTTTGGAAGTTTATGAGATATATCAAATTAATTCATAAACACAAAGTGAAAAAACATGCTCTGGAATTGGGCAATGGAGACCGAGTAGGGGCATGACCCCATACTGCCTTTCCAATTCAGGTTAAGTACCACCATTCTTCTGCAGAGCCCAGTTGGTTGCTTTCCTCTCAATGTCTCATGAATAATCCCCAGCAATTCTCAAGACAGAGAGAAATGATGTGTCACTCTCCCGACTTTGCATATTTCACAACCGTGAGAAAAATACAAATACAAATACAATACTACCCTGGTACTCAGCAGAAATTAGGATCTCCCATTGCCCCTGAAAGCTAGAGTAGCACAAGACTCTGATGTTTTGATGTTTATTAGAGGAAGATGCAAACCAGTAGAGAAGTGAGACAATTTAGTGTTTCATCCCATAACATGTCATGGATTTAATGCTTCAGAAGCTAAACAGAGATGTGAAAATCACAGATAGAGTACAATCTAGCCATTACATGAAAAACAAAGTTAGTTTAATTTTATTTCATAAAAAATTTAGTCACATCTGTGCCATGCAAGACAGACTGTGGATACATAAATATTGTTGAATTATTAACTGTGAAAATTATTGTATTTTGAGACAGAAATGGTCAAAAAGCTGTGAGATGCATTAGGCTGATGTGACGGGGTGTACCAGGCCCTTTGAGCCCCCTGTTAGAGGCCTTGCCATCCTAACACACTCCGGTCCAGAAAAGGTGGCTCCACCAGCTCTGCCTGGAAAGGCTGCAGGGAAGCAGCCAATCAGAGCACAAATGGGACCATAAGGGTGAAGAAGGATTAGAAGGCTGGGAAGCTTCACATGTAAACAGATTGGGGAGAAACCCTGCTTAAGCGGGGACAGATCTGTGAAACTCTCCAAGGCACAGAGTCCTGGGAAAGTGAACCTTGACCAAAAGGGGGAGAGACTGCTAGAAGCTGTCCAGATAAAGAGGCCCAAGAAGACCCTGTAAAATCCCGATAGAGATCAGAGAATCATAGAATATCAGGGTTGGAAGGGATCTCAGGAGGACATCTAGTCCAACCCCCTGCTCAAAGCAGGACCAATTCCCAACTAAATCATCCCAGCCAGGGCTTTGTCAAGCCTGACCTTAAAAAGCTCTAAGGAAGGAGATTCTACCACCTCCCTAGGTAACCCATTCCAGTGCTTCACCACTGTAAAAGTTTTTTCTACTATCCAACCTAAACCTCCCCCACTGCAACATTACTCCTTGTTCTGTCACCTGGTACCACTGAGAACAGTCTAGATCCATCCTCTTTGGAACTCCCTTTCAGGTAGTTGAAAGCAGCTATCAAATCCCCCCTCATTCTTCTCTTCTGGAGACTAAACAATCGCAGTTCCCTCAACCTTTCCTCATCAGTCATGTGCTCCAGCCCCCGTATCATTTTTGTTGCCTTCTGCTGGACTCTTTCCAATTTTTCCACATCCTTCTTGTAGTGTGGGGCCCAAAACTGGACACAGTACTCCAGATGAGGCCGCACCAATGTCGAATAGAGGGGAATGATCACGTCCCTCAATCTGCTGGCAATGCCCCTACTTATACAGCCCAAAATGCCGTTAGCCTTCTTGGCAACAAGGGCACACTGTTGACTCATATCCAGCTTCTCGTCCACTGTCACCCCTAGGTCCTTTTCTGCAGAACTGCTGCCTAGCCATTCTGTCCCTAGTCTGTAACAGTGCAAGGGATTTTTCCGTCCTAAGTGCAGGACTCTGCACTTGTCCTTGTTGAACCTCATCAGGTTTCTTTTGGCCCAATCCTCTAATTTGTCTAGGTCCCTCTGTATCCTATCTCTACCCTCTAGCATATCTACCACTCCTCCCAGTTTAGTGTCATCTGCAAACTTGCTGAGAGTTCAGTCCACGCCATCCTCCAGATCATTAATGAAGATATTGAACAAAACCAGCCCCAGAACACTCCGATTGAAACCAGTTGCCAACTAGACATGGAGCCATTGATCACTACCCATTGAGCCCTATGATCTCGGCAGCTTTCTATCTACCTTATAGTCCATTCATCCAGCCCATACTTCTTTAAATTTCCGGACAAACTAAC